TTTTGTTTTGTATAATGAGACATGTTTATTTGCTCTCCCCAGAAGCGAAACTGATAAATATTAGTGTATTAGACCAACCAAATTATGATTAATTAGCTTAGGCCACCGTGAGGACACTTTTAAAATGGATTAGCTGCAAGATTTAGCTGGAAGAAGTATTATCTCAACCACAGCTACAACAAGGACGGGCTCTTCCAGCTCATTAGCTAAACACTGAGTTCTTCGATGGATTCAATTAAACAGTAACACTTGAAGAATTTGCATTTCGGAGGTCCAGGTACTGTCTTTGGCTAATGTCCATCCTATAACTCTCGAGAGATATAAGTATAGTAAACTGTTTAAATCAGTAAGTTGATGCACAGACGTCTATTGAAGTTAGCTTTGTTTAGACTGTCTGTTAGAAGTCTTTTAGCTTGTGTTTGCTTTTAAAGCCTCGCTAAAGTGTATTTAGTGAGGCTTATGTGGTGTTTATAGTGTATTGCATGTAAACTGAAGGGCTTTGGTGGTTTAGTTCAAATACTAAAAAGGATGGCATTACTATTAAAAATGTAAGCAAATCACTAGCCTAGGAGCCTAGGTTGTAGAATATGGGTTGGTCCTGATGCTAGATGTCTTATGATTGTCGGTAGGGGGAGGTAGAAGCAAACTAATGAAGCGCCCCAGGGGTGTGAGGCGCAATAAAGAAGCTCAAAACCTACTTTAAAATTTAAATTTGATTTTTGTGTTTATTTATTTATTTGCATTATTTTACTCCCAGTTCACAACAGTATTATTAACCTGTGCACGTGTTAATTTGTAAATGTGTTTTAAGGAAAGCCGGACTGTTACACAGGTACACTACCTGTCTACAAGGACACTGACAGTTACTTAGCGTTGTAATGAAGATTTAGGTAGTTTGTATATTTCTGTAAAAAACTGACCAAACCAGTTTGATAATAAATGTTTTCTTCTTTATGTGCACACTCACACGCATATATACAGACACTGGATCACAACCCTGAAACAGTAACTGACCTGTAACATAAATAAAATGGTAATCTCTCCCTCCCTGAATTATTTATATTTGTTTACTGTCAGTGAGTGAAACCGTCTTTTAACCCCCTCCCTTGAAGTGAAATAGTCTACTTAGTGATATGGTGGTTTTACAGTTAAACATCCCAGACACATTAAAACACATTAAAACCTTTGCAGTTAAAAGGCTGGGTGGAGTAAACAGTCTAGAGAGTGGAGTATCTTTTATATGTGTTCTAGTATGTACTGTTGTTGTTGGTTTTAGATAATTGGTGTTGTGATAAAAAAAAAGCAGTAAAATATATTTAGCAACACATTTTAACCTGTTTCGTGTAAATACTCAGCATTTTGGTCTTCCCAGTTAAATTTATGCCAGTACACCTATTACATCTTTTTTGCCTGCCTGAATGAGTAGTCTTTCTAAGTGACCCACTCCATTACCAGAGCATCATTAGGGTGTTGTTGTTGATGCTTACCCTCCTTCCTTATGGTTTGGCCTTGGATCTCATCCAGTCCCCTGAGTCCTCTTACAGTACAGAGCAGTAAGCATTTCCCAAACAAATTAATACCATATCCTGAGTGTGCCTAAACTTTCTGGAAGTGTAATATAGACTATTAATGGTGGCAGTCATGTTTTTTTCAGTTGCGGTGGCAGAAAAGATTTCAATTTATATTTCCGATTGGTTAATAGACGCAAGAACGTTAATTGTTGTGACTGTGGCGTCTGCTTTATGGACTAGATATTGATCGGATGTGCTGGCTATTCATGCAGAGGTTGCAAATGCAAAATATGTTTCCCAGTAACTATGAGAGTAATTCGGCTTGGTAAATTACAGTCAGCAGCAAATATAGTATTTTGCAACTGTGATCTTACGCCAGGCTGTTAGTATGTGTAGTGTATTATGGATTTCACGTGAGCATGAAGTTTATTTGAGTGTAGTTATGACATTTCATTGGTTTTACGACTGCTGCTCTTAACAGTATGGCTAATC